ATTGAGATGCCATGGCATGACCTCAAGAAAGCGATTCACACCAGACATCCCAAGAATATTGCTGAACTGAAACAGTTCTGTAAGAAGGAATGGTCAAGAATTACTCCTGACCGTTGTGCACGTCTGATCTGCAACTACAGGAAACGTTTGGTTGAAGTTATTGCTGCCAAAGGAGGTTCAACCAGTTATTAAATCCAAGGGTTCACATACTTTTCCACCTGCACTGTGAATGTTTACATGGTGTGTTCAATAAAAACATGGCAACATTTCATTCTTTGTGTGTTATTAGTTTAAGCAGACTGTGATTGTCTATTGTTGTTACTTAGATGATGATCAGATCACATTTTATGACCAATTTGTGCAGGAATCCATATCATTCCAAAGGGTTCACATACTTTTTCTTGCAACTGTACATGTTACAATGTTATTGCTTTGTTATTACATGTTACGGTGTTATTGCTGTTATTATGTTACAATGTTATTGCTTTGTTATTACATGTTACAGTGTTATTACATGTTACGGTGTTATTGCTGTTATTACATGTTACGGTGTTATTGCTGTTATTATGTTACAATGTTATTGCTTTGTTATTACATGTTACAGTCTTATTACATGTTACGGTGTTATTGCTTTGTTATTACATGTTACAGTGTTATTGCTGTTATTATGTTACAGTGTTATTGCTGTTATTACATGTTACAGTGTTATTGCTGTTATTATGTTACAATGTTATTGCTTTGTTATTACATGTTACAGTGTTATTGCTGTTATTACATGTTACAGTGTTATTGCTGTTATTACATGACACGGTGTTATTGCTGTTATTACATGTTACAGTGTTATAACCAAACAAACAAGAATTTCAAACAAGATGACGGCACGGAGGAGGAACCCAACACCAGGAGCTGATCCCATGGCAGACGGTTCTGGAGCTGAACCTGAGGTGTCGGTCGCGGAGGCTCTAGGCAGGCGGTCCATGTCAGACGGTGTTGCTGGAGCAGGTCAGGGACGGGAGGCAGCACATCTGCGTCTCTCAGGTCAGGCTGCGTCCCGTCAGATGGCAGCTAGCAGGAAAGGTCAGATGCGGAGGACGGCGGGCTCCGCCGATGCTGCGAGTGCCGCCAGATCTGCTACCAACGCTGGAGACGCCCCTGCTGCACTCGGCAGTCGGGCCCTGTATCGGTGGGAAGTGCAAGACGTGGGTGCCCAGGAGCACAGAGGGGTATGGGCCACGGGGGTCCAAGCGTCAGGAAGGAGTCTGGTACGGCCCCAGCTGGGTCCTGGTCAGCTGCGGTAGAGGACACTGTCACAAATGGGGCACGGGCAACGGCTGGTTCAGGCAGCCAAGGACATAGCGTTTCTGCGGCCAGGGAGGTGCCAGGCAGGCCTAACAGGCTTGAGAGGAGCCCAAACGGGACCTGGGGGGTGCAGCATGGCCTGCGCGGGGTCAGGTGGGAGAGAATGCGTACGGCTACATGAAGCCAGGCAGGTGGATAGGCCGGATTGGAGGAGTCATGCTGTCCGGGAGCGCAGGGAGCACCGCTCTAGGACGAGGGATAGCGGGTCACCAAGTATTACAGGCCAGGCTACTTTTCAGGAGTGTTGCAAGGACCAGGCGCAGCGAGGATAGACGGTCCACTGCATTACAGCAGGGGGCGTTCAACTTCTTCCGAGGATATGGCAAGGAGCCGGAGAAGGGCTTACGGGTCGCATAACAGGAGTTATCGGAAGGTTTGTCTTACCCCATACGCCAATCGGGTAAGGCGGTTTGAGGACAAGGAATGTGGTCGGCAACGTGGGGAGGATGGACGGGTTGGGGCTCCTATAAGCAGACTACCCAGGTTGTATTCTTCCCGCAGGTCAGCAACTCCTTCTCCTACGGTACTGAGGCAGGACCTGGCGGCTGGTGCAGAAGTTATGATGCTACTCCTGGACCGCTCGAGGTGGATAGAAGGACTGCGGGCTTCTATGGCAGTGGGTTCTGGCGGTGAGTCTTCTTCTGCATTACACTCCAGGAATCTCTTGGATAGCTTGAGGTCCTTTCTTAACTTTTGGGCTGTTGTGGATACACAGGAGGCGCATTTTAGTCGGGTGTGGGTCTGCTGACAGGCCGATGTGTGGTGGCATCGATGGTTCCGGTGGCTGCGGCAGGCAGTGTTCAGGGCGGGACTATGGTGACTTCACTCGGGTCGGGGACATCGGCGGTGGTCAGCGAGCGTGCAGAGTTGTTAGGTGAGATCCCAGAGGTAGCCAGGCAGAATGTGTCATTCGCTGGGCATTTGGGTTGTCATCTAAAATCGGACATGAAGAAGAAGATTTGGCGGGGCAAATTCCTCGAGATCTTCTCGCTTCTTCCTTTGGATGAATATATTGATCTGAAGGAGGAAGATAAGATGGATTCCAAGAAAGAAGAGGAGGAAAAAAGAGACAAAGGTACTGGAAGATAACTATGCCTTTTGGGAATTGGCTACGGGCATTCTGCATTTTGGCTAGTGTCTTGGGCGAGAAGTTTCCCAAGCGGTGTTCTCAGTTTTTCTGCTATTTGGACGGGATCTGGGAAGCTTATTGCACTTATGGGGGCTTGGCTTGGTGGAAGTACGATGAGCAGTTCCGTCAAAGGTTGTCGGGATGCGGTGGGACCAGATGGAGCTACCTCTATGGATGAAACTGATGATGGCTCAGAAAGCTGCGCCCTTTCAGGGTGGGGCCGGCACACCTCCTCTTCGTCAGCCAGTCAAAAGAAAGGGTTCTGTTGGACGTTTAATGAAGGTCAATGCAAGGGGGGCCTCGTGTAAGTTTAAGCACTAATGTTCGGACTGCGGGGGTGCCTCAACAGGTGCTTCAAACAGGGAAAGTCTGCATTTACCAGCGGAGCCAGGCCTTGGCTAAGCCGTTACGGTAACCAGGGTGATGCACAGTTATTGTTAGACGGGTTTTCAAAGGGGTTTTGTATGCCTTTCAAGGAACGGGTTTTGGGTCGATTGTGTGACAACTTGAAATCAGTTACAGAGCATCCGGAGGTGGTTTGGGATAAATTGGCTAAGGAGGTTCAACTGGGTAGGATGGCGGGGCTGTTCTCACAACCTCCGTTGGCAGACTTACGGATTTCGTCTTTGGGCGCAGTGCCTAAATAAAGAACCAGGTAAGTTTCACCTGATCCATCATTTATCATATGCGAAAGGTTCTTCGGTGAATGATGACATTGATGAGGCACTGTGTTCTGTCTCCTACGCATCATTTGACCAGGCGGTTGAGTTGGTTCGGAAGGCAGGACGCGGGGCTTTGATGGCGAAGGCTGACGTGGAGTCGGCTTTTCGATTACTGCCGATCCATCCTGACTGTCACCATCTGTTAGGTTGCATGTTCTATGGGACCTATTTTGTGGACATTTGCTTGCCATTTCATGTTCCTACTTCAAAAAGTTTAGTTCTTTTTTGGAGTGGGTGGTGAAGGAGGACTCGGGTGGGGGTTCCTTAGTGCATCGCAATGACTTCTTGTGTGTGGGCACTGCCGGGTCGAAACGTATTGGCCACACCTTGCGGTCTTTGGAATGCGTGGGACATTCGTCTGGGGTACCCCTGGTAGCCGACAAGACGATGTGCCCTACCACTTGTCTCGGTTTTCTTGGGTTGGAGATTGATTCGGCGGCGGGGGCATGTTGGCTGCCTAGGGATAAGTTGATCGCACTTCGGGAGGTTGTGGTGCATGTTAGAGGGTCCAGTAAGGTTAGTTGAGAGAGGTGCAGTCTTTGATAGGCAGTCTGAATTTTGCGTGTAGGGTAATTCCCATGGGGAAAGTCTTTAGCCGTTTTTTTGGCGAGGGTAACTTGTGGGGTCCCGTCTCTGTGTCACTTTGTCAAGGTCTCGGGAATCTTTTTTTTTAAATGTGATTTCAACGGACCAGTCTTCTTTCGTGAAGCGGCAGCTTCCTCGGAGGATATTGAGTTGTTCACAGATGCTTCGGGGAGCATAGGTTTTGGGGCATATTTGGCGGACAGATGGTGTGCTGCTCAGTGGTAATTTGGCGTTTCTTGAGTTGTTCCCGTTGGTGGTGGCAGGTGTTGCAGGACAGGAAGGTTATCTTTTTTACATACAATATGTCGGTGGTTCATTCTGTTAACCGCTTATCCGCAACTTCGGTCCCGGTGGTAAGCTTATTACAGCGATTTGTATTGTTTTGTATGTCTTTTAATATTGCTTTTCGGGGCGCGTCACGTGCTTGGTTTGTTAAACGTGGTGGCTGATTCCTTGTCTCGTTCACAATTTCAGATGGCGGCTCTGGGGGCGCGAAAGGAAGGACAGGCCTGTCCGTAGGAGATGTGGCGGCTCAGGACGTCACGCTTAGAAGATTCATAAGGAAGAGTTATGCCTTGTCACTGATTCTGTTTTCATTCTACGTTGGGTGGTCTGGTTGGTGGGCCACTCTTACATCTACTGGGAGCAGAAGACAGCCACAGTTCAGAAACAAGGAGTGCAGCTGGGCTTTCCTCTGGTGTTGGTGACACTGGAGTGGTTTGGTTTTCGGGGTTTTGGTTGGCAAGGCATTAGTTGGAAAATTTTCCGAAGGGTGGCAAAGAGCACGGTTCCAGATGTACTGTTAATTTACGCTGGAGGCAATGATCTGGGCATTGTCACAAAGAAAGAATTGGTCAGATTGATGAAGAGGGATGTGGACCGGCTATGGGAGCTGACTCCAGGTGTGGTGGTGACGTGGTCCAAGATGGTTCCTCGGTTTCACTGGCGACATGCCAAGGACCCGGCCGCGGTGGCTCAGTGCCAGGGACAAATCAATAAAATCATTGCGGTCTTTATTAGGCGGATAGGTGGAGTGGCAGTAAGGCATGGGGAATTGGAAGGCATGCTTCCTGGGTACTTCAGGAGGGATGGTGTACATTTGTCGGAAGTGGGGTGTGACCTATTTATTTTGGTCCTTCAGGAGGGCCTTCAACAGGCCCTGTTTAGGTATGGTAGGGGGCGCTCAGGAGTCAAGTCCTGAGCTGTAGCAGGGAATGGCCAGGTTAAATCAGGGGGTAGATAGAGGAGGAAGTGGGCATCCAGAGTTTTAGAGTGGATTAGGCAGCATTACGTTTGTTTCGAGCCTGTCGGTGGCTCCGAACCTGGGGATGTAGCGGTGTCTTTAATCTGGTGGATATGTGGTCATATTGGACGGCCAGTTTCTGTGTTTAATATGTTAATTAGATTGTTATTTATTGTTATTATTGTGGGGTCATTGCCAGTGGTATGCTATGTATATGAGGGGGATGTTGGCTTTAATAATATTTGTTGGCAATGACCCTATTTGTTATTCCTTAATTAATAAAGCTGTGGACTAATATTTCCAACAGTATAACCTGTGTCCGTGTCTTAATGTGGTTTGGGGTAAGGTTAGCGCATATGTCGTAAATCCGAGTGTTAAAATATGCGAACTAGAAATATATCTAACTGGAAGAATTTTTACACAGCAGCATCCTACAGCTTGAGGAGAGAATACAGAGCGTCAGTGAATGGGGAGGTTACGTCAGGCTCTGCAACAGTGACAGCAGTTAAGGTAATATTTCAATCAGTGAACAGAGAGACTATCCGTGGGAAGCCAGGAATACGATGTCACACAGGAATTCTCCCAGCTAATGGGTGACATAATTTCAATCCTTCCCACGGAAACACACTGTACCCATATACATGGGATAAAATATTAACAAAAACATATAACGAGACAGAGACATTAGGCTCACAGGCTGCAACACAACAATATAAATATGCAAGAAACAAACAAGTCATGTGACAATATCAAGCAATATACAGACATGTCCTGTGACAATACACTGCAATATACAGACATTTTCTGAGACAATACAAAGCAATATACAGATATGTCCTGTGACAATATACAGCAATATACAGACACGTTCTGGGACAATATACAACAATATACAGACGTCCTGTGACAATATACAGACATGTCCTGTGACAATATACAGCAAAATACAGACATGTCCTGTGACAATATACAGACATGTCCTGTGACAATATACAGCAATATACAGACATGTCCTGCGACAATATGCAGCAAGATACAGACAGTTCCTGTTACAATACACAGCAATATACAGACATGTCCAGTGACAATATACAGCAATAGAAAGACAGGTCCCGCCACAAAATACAGCAACATACAGACACGTCCTGTGAAAATTTACAGCAACATATAGACAGGTCCTGCCACAATATACATATACAGCAACACACAGACACGTCAGGTGACAATATACAGCCACATACAGACACGTCCTGTGACAATATACAGCAACATACAGACACGTCCTGAGACAATAGACAGCAACATACAGACACGTCCT